TGACTAGCATGTGCCTGGCACATAACATGTGCTACCAGTACAGACAGGTCTAGTTCTTTTAATCCAAGTTCAAACTTTAAAATTCTAAACAAAGCCAAAAAAATGCTTTTAAAACAAAAGATTGAAAAGTGATGACAGATATTACATTCCATTGGCAGTAAAATCCAAAAAGGAAGAAATGATTCAACTGCCACCTAACTAGAAACTATTTTTCCTATAATCACAGTATTAGAGGAGAAAGTTTTTAAGCTGCTGTTTTAAGTTGTAATAAAATCTTATTGCAGTAACCAAAATGAATGGCTACATGTGACTAAGTATGCAAAAGGAAATATATCAAGTCCAATCACTTCCTCACTTTTTTAAAAACAAAAAAGAAAGAAGAAAAAATATCCCTTCAGTTGACAAATCTGTTGTGCAGTTTTAAATATAAATGCATTTATGAAGGGAACCCACTGGTGTTAAATGCATGACTGGTGATTCTGCATTAATGTTTTTTATTGGTGCCCATCTTTATAGACTTCCCAGCTTCTTTTTTTTTTTTTTTTCCTTTTTGTCTTTTTTCGTGACCAGCAACGGATCGCAACCCTCAGTGTCGCGCCCGTACCGGACCGGCTTCTATCATTATCAAAGGGTAAATAATTGATTCATTTTTTAAAGCAAACAAGATTTTAACCTGGTACATCTTTACTATACGATATATAAGTAAATATATTTTCTCCACAACAGGATATTAATAGCTTCATTCTTAGTTCAAAGGTAAGTTTTTATAAGCAAGCTCAAAACTTTAATGGCTCAAAGAGCTTATTAAAAAAGTTCAGCAAATTGATAATCCCTATTTAACAATGAAAACAAATTTGAACTATTTTTTAAAATTGTAATAAGCAAATTGAAAATTAGAAATTAAAATAAATATTAAATTGATTCTACATCATCTTTAAAGTCACTTTAACTCACTCTCAATAGCACAATGCTGTAAGTCATGAAGTAGAGAAACAAAATTCTCAGTTCACCTCTTTTTTTTTCCTACTCACTGTACTTGTTAAAATTTTCTGTTCTTCCATTCCTATTATAAATTCAGCAGCAGGCTAAGGCAAAGGCAGTTTACAGAGCTCAAAAGACATACTGGACTCTTCGGATACCAGTTAAACAATATAGAGAAGAATTTGATCCCTGCCTTGACACTAAGTTTAGAAGCTATGCACACAGATAATGTCCTTGTTTTTCTTTTTCATTTTACCAAGACCTTCATTCCTCGAGGCCTAAAATATATCTAAATCTGGATTTCTTTTTGCTTCATCTCACAATCTGAAAATTGACTGCTAAACATTTCTCACAGAGTCATCAGGCAGTAAAATTGGTAACTAGAGGATTTCTAACTTGTTTTATGTTTTTCTAAATCTATTATAAGAAGAGCAAACAATAATAACAGCTCATATTTATTCAGTGCTGGCTCTGGTCCAAGCACTCACAACAACCCTATGACACAGGCTAGTGTTATGCTCAATTTGCAAATTAAGAAACTAAGGCTTAGAAAAAATAAGAAACTTACCCAAGGTCACACTGCTGAGATTCAAACCCAAGGATGAATGAAATCATGCTGTTCATTCTATTATTCATTCTCTTCCATGGGAGAAAATGACCCACTGTTTGCTATTCTATTTCATAACATAGCTTCCCTGAACACACTAGTGAAGAAAATAGCAATTGGCTATGCTCATTCACTTATTAATTTACTCAACCAATATTTATTAGCTCCTCAAAATTCTCATTTGACCTTAAATCCTTTTAAGTGTTTCTAGTAGCTGGTATATGCAATGGACTGAATGTGTCCCCCTGAAATTCACATGTTGATATTCTAATCCCTAGTGTGATAGTATTAGGAGATGAGGCCTTTGGGAGGTAACTATGTCATGAAGGTAGAGCCCTTATTAATGAGATCGGTGCTTACATTAGTCAATTTTCTATCACTTATAATGAAATACCTGAAATTGGGTAATTTATGAAGAAATAAAATTTATTTCTTACAGTTTTGAGGGCTGGGAAGTCCAAGGTTGAAGGGAGCATCTGGTGAGGGCCTTTTTTTTGGTGGAACTCTGTACAGGTTCCCATGGTAACACAGGTATCACACGGCAAGGGCTGAGAAGACTATGTATTTCTACATGCTTTATTCCTCTCCTTATAAAGCCCCCCAGTCTACTCCCTGATACCCATTAAACCATTAACCCATCAATCCATGAATGGACGAATCCATTCATGAGGACAGAGTCCTCACGATCCAATCACTTCCCAAAGGCCTTACTTTTCAAATACCATAGTCTGATTTCCCACTCTCTTAACACTATTACAATGGGGATCAAGCTTCAGTGAGTTTTGGGGTGACATTCAAACCATAGCAGTGCCCTTCAATGAGTTTTGGGGAGATATTCAAACTATAGCAGAGACTCCCAAGAGCTCTCTTGCCCTCTTTCTACCATGTGAGGAAACAATGAGAAGACAGCAGTCTGCAACCTGGAAGAGGGCCTTCATCAGAACCCAGGCACACTGAGCTCGGACTTCCAGTCTCCAGAACTTTGAGAAATAAATGCGTGTTGTTTATAAGCCACCCAGTCTATGATGTTTTGTTATAGCCTGAACTAAGACAGAAATTTGTATCCAAAAGTGGGGGTGCTGCTGCTGTAACAAATACCCTCAAAGATTATCTTGGCTTATTATTTCATATAACCAAGTAAAATATGTTAAATAATCAACTGTGATTGTTAAAACCATTTTAGTTGGGTTTTTGAATACAGTAAAAGCCAAGGCGTCCTCACTGATATAAACACTTACCAAAAATTGCATTTGAGAAGAAAATAAGAAAGGACAACCTAAAATGACAGTCCAGAAAATAAACAAAAACAGTGTGTCTTCAGTTCAAAAAACCAACTACAGAAGTACAGAATGATATAATAGCAGGATATAATGATATAAATGCTGATTTAATAGCATTTCAAACAACAAAGATCTAAGTGTTCTACCAGTGAGCTCAAAGTAACCCAACACAATATCATGGCTGAGAACAATGTACAGCCATTTAGGTCATATTATTAGAATTAATGGCTCAAGATTATGGTGGCAAAATCTTATAAGCTCAGCACTGATCATCACATTTCTGGACTAAATTAGGTATACTACATTAAAAGAGACATTAAAACAGGAGAGTACCAAGGGGTGAAAGATGTAGAGACCATGTAACCTGAGGACAGGCTGAAGAAATGACAAATACACAGTCTGGAAGAGGGAAGATTAAAGAGGGCATGACGTTTATTTTCAAGGGTTCTAGAAGAGAAGGACTGGACTTAGTCTCACTCCTTCAGAGAAAGGCATTAGAAGCAACAGTTGTTTGCTATTGAAGATCTGGGCTTAAGACAAGTAATTTTCTCATCATCAGAGCAATCTAAAAGTCAAATAAGTTATCTCACGAGACAGTGAAATTCACTTTCACTGAGACAAAGTAAAGACTCAGTGACCACCCCCATCTGTATTCTAGAACAGTATTTCCCGATAGTAGTACACACACCACTGGTTGCACAGATATGATTTTAACTGGCACATACATTTATTTTATTTGTTATATATTTAATTTACATTAAAAACAAATAAATGCACTTACTACACTGGCCATCAATCCCACAGTTTCATGAATATTACTGTTTCAGGATAAATGAAGTAAAAATTTAAAACTGACTTAAGAAAGATTAAATCAATATATTTAACTTAACTAGATATATTATTTTATGATATTAGTTACCACCCTAGTATTTATATAGATAAGCAATAAATGGCACCAAAGATGTAAGAAAAAGAAAAAAAAAATTTCTGAGAGAAAAAATATTTTTAAAAAAGGAAAGAAAAAACCACATTAAGTTAATTGGAACCCAAGTGGTATAAGAAGATCTCAAAAATCATAAAGGTACCACAAAAACATCTGAATTTTGAATATGCTGCTCTGTGGAGATTCTTGCATTGAACATCCTAAAACTAAAGTTCTTCCTTTACCAAAGTTGTCTTAGTATTCAATGATTCTCTGAAAACATGGTAATTTACAACTATATTTATTCAAATAGCTATCACAATAAAAGAGGAACTAAAATTTTTTATTATTTCAGTAACAATCTTAGAAATTGTTAATGTTATAGCTATAAAACGACTGGAATTCTTCCAAAACTTAATCTTTAATCACAAAAGACTGGTGTTCTTGCATCTAATAAGCATTTATTGAGGGCCTTCTATGGGACAGGCACTGTGGTAGAAACAAATTTGAAAGTAAATTTGCAAGTTTTCATTTGAAGGAGGAAAATTTAAAAACATTTACAATAAAACACAAAAAGAGAACGTCTTTACCATCATGTTCATTAAAAATGTGTATGTATTTTAGTATGACTGAAGCCCAAACCATTTTCTATACCACACACACACACACACACACACACACACACACACACACACACACACACACACAATCTAGACACATGAACCAGATTTAGACATAAAATTCCTTCAGTAAGCTCTGCCCACATACTCAGTATTTAATGCTCTTGCTCCAGTATATTCTCAGGAATATCCTGAAAATTCTCAGGAATCTTACTGAAGTCTTAAAGGCAATCTTGTGATGTCTTTATGAAAAGTCTGCCAACCTCTATCTTAAGGCACTGTCTAGCAGGCATATTCCTACAGCATAAAGCAATGAGCCTCTCTGGAAAAAATGATGCCACAGTATACTACTGGAGGCATTTTTTCTGCCTAATGAGAAGCCTGACCTTTTCTTTTCTTTCCCAGCTCCTTAGGCCATGAGGTACTTTATGTCTGAATAATCAAATAATAAGTGACATCTAATATGTACAAGAAACACTAAAGCTTAAACTTGTCCCCCGAAGACATTTCCCCATGTGTCCATCCCCAAATGGATTTCAACCAAAGTCTAAGGAAGAAAAACAATCAGCCCAGGAAGATTTCTCTCCTACCTCCTGAGTGTGTTCTTTATAGATTTGCAGTGGCCCTGTGGCCTTGGCAGTGTCCCATAGCTGTAGCGAGCCATCACCACTACAGGTGACAAGGACATGTTCATTGTTCTCACTCCAGGTCACGTCAAATAAACCATCGTTCCAGTCAAAGCTACACCAGGAAAATTAAAAAAAAAAAAAAACCAACTTACATAGGCAACTCAACAAAAAAGAATAATAATCATAATTTTACAGTTATGGGGGCTTTTCTTAGAGTTTATCACATTTTAATACATATTATCTCATATAATCTTCACAACGATGGGAGATAACTAGAGACAGTACTTGACAGATGCGGAAGCAAGTTCCAAAAGGTTAGAATTGTCCAGGTCATACAGGTAGAAAACTGCCAAGCTGGACTGAAATTTGGTCTCCTAAATACAAATATGCAACTATTCATATGAGACACATGCTGCCATACATCGATGCTCACTGTTTCTTGTGGTTCATAGGATGGGCCAGCAACCACTTCAAAATAATAATTTAGAGTAGTAATTTCAACTCTTCCCATAAATCTTTCACCTGAGCTATATAATACTGGTCCCATAAATCTTTCACCTGAACAACAAACAGGTGGTTATTTCCTGACAGAATTTCCCTTCCTTTCTCTATCTTTGACTAATGCTGATAAAAGTGGGGCTTTTTCCCTAAAAAAAAGTATTTATTTATTTATTTTTGATTATACACATTTAAGGGATACAAAGTTGATCAGTATTTGTGTACAGTATGTGATGATCAAATCAGTACTATTAGCATATTCATCATTACAAATCATAATTACCCTGTGTCCCTTACCCAACTACTCCCTAGCCTCTCTCTCCCTCCCCCTTTCCCACCTCTAGTAACTATAGGTCTGTTCTCGTCTTCTGAAAGTTCAAAGTTTTATTGTGATCTGTCTGTCTTCCCTCCTTCTGTTCTTTCTCAGTTCCCACTTATGAATGAGCCTGATAAAAGTCTTAATGAGTCCAACTGTCACACAGGCAAGACATGCATGGAAAGAAAGGAAAAGAGGCACTAGATAACACATGAAATGAATAATTAGCTCCTGTATGAGTAAAGCTAAACTATATTAACAATATACCAGTTTACATTTTTCATGTCAAGTGTTATAATTTACTATATAATAAGCTTTAGAAGAAAAGTGGCAAAATCATAACTTAATGGCAAAAATATGTTCTACATTCTGCAAATGCTGAAGTTCCTTTTATAGTGCAAACTAAAACATCTTGTTGATCAAAAAGAGTCAAAACCTAATTCTTTAAGGCTTTAATAGCAACAAAGAATATACACAGTCATGCCTCGCTTAAAGACGGACACATTCTGAGAAATGTATTAGGTGATTTCGCCATTGCACAAACGTCATGGAGTGTACTTACACAAACCTAGATGGTATAGTCTACTATACCCCTTAGCAATATGGTATAGCCTATTGCTTCTATGTGAATAATACATTGTGGTACAACATGACAAAAGCTACAGCATCACTAGGCTACAGGAATTTTTCAGGTCCATTATAATCTTATGGGACCACCATTGTATATGTGGTCCATCATTGACCAAAACGTATTTATGCAGTCAGTGCACGACTTCATAAGTTTAATAATTAGAGCCACCTTACCTTCTGAAAAGCCTAAGCCCAGATTCATTTTGATCCAATATCAATAGAGTTCCACAGCCTAAAGAGAAAAAAAAAAATCTATGTCATGCCTTGAACCCACCAAGAGACCATCTAAGCTCAAGGAGGTTATCAAGCACTGAGAACCTGATTTTACTACCACAAGTTTCTCCCTGTAGTTATCGGGATCATGTATACAAAATGATTAGGACTATGCTTCAATCATTAAATATTCAACTTACCATCTCACCTGGAATCCAGACACAGCCCTAACAGAGTGGGGAGACAACTTGAGTGCCTACTCAGTGGCCAGGCAAGGCATCAGGCACACAAACCTTCCAAGTTGGTGTTATCCCTATTGAGAGATGAGCAACTCAGGCTTACAGACCCTAAGGACTCTGCTCCTTCTACTAAATCACCCTACCTCATTAATAAACCTAAAATACATCTAACACAGGATTTCAAAACAGAACATGAATGTAGAAATACCTGGTGTAATTTACCACATACGTAGTGGTAAAGTGCTGAAACACAATATTAATATCAGTTTTCTACCAAAGATGAATTATTTTACTAAAGGAACGATGTATTTTAAAAGTTATATTTATTTTTATAGAGACCAACAGAGGAAAACTCTTATATATAAAAATAACTGATTTTTAAAAAAATACCAATTCCTTTCAAGGAGTTTTTTTACAAAGGATTTACAGTATCATTACAGAATCATTAGTCTTCAACTTAGCTGGTGGGCAAGTATTGTAAATCGGAGTGTGCAAGCACTAAGAGCTAATGGTAAAAATTAACCAAGTATATCTCAGTTATAGAAATCACTTTTTTTTTTCCTGCTACAGGACCCGACAAAAAAATACTACAGAGCACTAACATTATGCAGTGACTGGTTCCATATCACTTCAGTGTGTAAACAATAGCAAGGATATGAATGAAAAGAAAGCAAAATCGAGAATGGACCCACGCCTTTCCATCTAGTCCACGGCCAGAGGCAAATTCACTTGAGTCTCTAACGACCGAGTATGCACTCCCGGTGAGACAAAAAGGTGAGAACAGAGCTTGCTACATTTCATGCTGGCTCTGGCGGGGAAACTCCAAGCGTCTGCCCAGGAGCACCCTTCCTAAGACGGACGGCCCGCACGTTTTGCTTAGGGCTCGAATGCTAATTGTGGGAAACGTGCACCAGTCAGCAGGCACCTGGGGCGACCGTGCAGAACGTCTTCCAAGTGCGGCTGGGCCCGCCAGGCCGGTCGGAGCGGCCACACAGGCTCACCCCGCTGTGTGCACGGGAGCGTGCACGTGTGTGTGTGTCAGGCGGCAGGGAGAGAGGACGGTGTTAAGGGACAAGGACAGGGGCTACTAGGCTACTTCCACCCTGTAACAGTTAAAGCTGATCGACACCATCTCCAGACCAGCTCCCCACGCCTGGCAAATGAGGACAGCGGAGCCGCGGGCCCCTCTGCTTCCCCCTGGCGTTCACTGGCGGCAGCGTCCACTCTCGAGCGCGAGCAGCCGCAGCTCGGCGGGCCCCCGCCCCCTGCCCCGACGGCGGGGTCCCGCCCGGCCTCACCCGCGATGCCGTA